ATTTCAGGAGATTTTCTAGAGATGTTTATATTATTGATTTCTAGCTTAATTCTTTTAAATTTATTGAAACTTGGTTTATGGCCCAGAATAGTCTATCTTGAAATATGTTTTATGTAACCTTGAAAAGAATGTGTATTCTGCTGCTGTTGGGTGGAGTGTTCTGTCACGATCATTTAGTTCAAGTTTACTGATTCTATTGTTCAAATGCTTACTGTTTTTCTATCTACTGATTCTATCAATTGTGGAGTGAAGTGTATTGAAATAGTCAAGTATAATTGTATACCTGTTCGTTTCTTTTTTCAATTTCAGTTTTTGCTTCATAAATTGTGAAGATTTGTTATTAGGTGCAAAACACTTAGAATTTTTGTGTCCTTTACATCTGGCAGTCCCTTTATCATAAAGTTGTTATCTTCTTTATCCCTGATTTTTTTCTCTGTAATATCATTTATTTTACACTAATATAGATGCTCCATCTTTTTTTCTTTTATTATAGTTAATATGGTATGTCTTTTTCCATTCTTTAAATTTATTTATTTATTTTTTAATATTTGAAATGCATTTTTGTAGGCAACACAACTGGGTCTTTTTAAAAAATCCACCTATTTATCCCTGCCCTCATATTTTGAGTAGTTACAACATTTCATTTACTGTGATGCTGATATGATTCAGACTTAACATATTTGTTTTCTATTTGTCTTGCTTTCCTATTTGTTTTTTATTTTCCCTTTTGTTGATTTAGTATATTTATGCTTTTAATCTTGAAGTAATATTACACTTCACATATAATATAGGAACTTTACAACAGTATACTTCCATTTCTTCCTTCTTAACCTCTATGCTGTTGTCATCATAAATTTTACTTTTAAATTTGTTACTAACACAATACAACATTGGTTTCATTTTTATTTAAACAGTCCAGTATCTTTTAAAGCAATTTAATTAGTAAGGAAAACCATTATGTATTTGTCCCTGTAGTTACCATTTCCAGTGCCCTTCATTCATGTAAATCTATAATTCTATCTGGTCTCATTTTTCTTCTGCTTAGAGGATTACCTTAAACATTTCTTGCAATGTGGATGTACTGGTAAGGAATTCTCTCAGCTTTTGTATGTCTTAACATCATTTTTTAAGTTATTTTAAATTTAATTAATTAATATTAATTAATTAAAAATTAATTCTAATTTTTTCTTAGTGTGTGAAACATGTTTTTGTTGGGTATAGACATCTAGGATGACAATTTTCTTCTATTAGTATCTTAAATATGTTGTTCCACTGCCTTCTGGCCTGCCTTTTTCAATTTTTAAAAGTCTATTCTTATCCTTATAACTGTTTCTGTGTACCTGACATGTCTATTTGTCTGGCTGTTTTAAGATTTTCTTTTTATCATTTGTTTTGAACTATTTAATTATAAAGTGCCTTGGTGTAGCTTTCTCCATGTTTCTTGTGCTTGAAGTTCACTGAGATTCTTGGCCTATAGGCATGCTATTTTAATCAAATTTAAGGTTTTTTTCAGTAAAATAATTTCAAATATTTTTCTTTCCATCCCTCTTCTCTCTTCAATTTTAAGGACTCCAATGACATGTACAGTAAGTCATTTGAAATTGTTTCTCAACTCACCGATGCTCTGTTCATTTTTTCAAAAACTTTATTTTATGTGTTTCTTTGGGGATACTTTCTTTTGCTGTCTTCAAGTTCGCTGTTTTTTTATCCAAAATGTCTAATGTGCCATTAATCCAATTCAATGTATTTTTCTTTTTTCTTTTTTTTTTTTTGAGTTGGACACACATTACATTGTAGTTTCATTTTTAGAAATTTGTTCTGGGTCTTTTTTGTATTTTTCGTGTCTCTATTTTTTTTGAAAATATATCTGATTTAATGTCTTTGTCTACTAATCTAACATTTGGGCTAGTTTCAAGTGATTAATTTATCTCCACATTACAGGTTGTGCTTTCTTGCTTTCTGCATGTCTAATATTTTGAGTGAATCTAGATGTGAATTTTTCTTTGTTGAATGCTAGATATTAATTTCTTTCTTTTTTTTTTTTTTTTTTGAGTTGGAGTCTCACTCAGTTGCCCAGACTGGAGTGCAGTGGCCGCTCCTGGCCACTGCAGCCTCAACCTGCTGGGCTCTGGCTATCCTTCCGCCTCAGTCTTCCAAGTAGCTGGAACTGCAGGCGCGTGCTATCACGCCTGGCTAATTTTTTTGATTTATTGTAAGAGATGACGTCTCGCCAAGTTGCCCAGGCAGGTCTCGAACCTGCGGGCTCAGGCAATTCACTCACCTCGGCCTCCCAAAGCATGGGATTACAGGCTGATTCACCGAGCCCGGCGATATTAATTTTTACAAATGTTACTGAGTTTTGTTTTAGGATGCACTTAAGTAGCTTGGAAGTATTTGATATTTGGAGTCCCTTCTTTTAAGATTTGTTGGATGAAACAGTATTCAGTCTAGAGCTAGATATTCCCTACTACCGAGAACCTTCTGTATACTCCACCCTGTGAACCTTGAGGTTTTCCAGTTTGGCTTGTGGGAATAGGCACCAGTGCTATATGAATACCAGGCATTGCTTGTACAATAACCAGCCTTGGGTAATTATTTTATGTGCATGTGCTCATCAGTACTTAGCTAAATTCTTAATGGGCACTTTGGTAGATTGAATATGGGGCCAAATATATATAAGCGCTTTATAGGGCAAGGATGACTTGGCAGCTGTGATTAAAATAAGCCTCTTGAAGTGGGGAGATTATTCTGGATCAGCCTGGTGGGCCCTATCTAATCATATGGGCCCTTATAATAATGAAGGAGATAAGAGTGAAAAGTAGCAGATATCATGGCAAAAGCAAGGGATTGCATGATGCAAGAAAGGGACCTTTTGAGCCCTTTGAAAGGAATGCGGCCCTGCCAAAAACCTGATTTATACTTCTGACCTTCAGAACTTTAAGAGAATAAATTTGTGTTGCTTTAAGTCACTAAGTTTATGGTAATTTGTCACAGCAGAGATAGAAAATTAATACAGGCACCCTGCAGATTCCTGAGGTTTACTCTCTGCGCAGCTCTTTCTTCTACATTACTCTGTCCTGCAGACCCTTGTTGCCTTGATCTACTCAGAATCTCAGATCTGCTCCCTCCAGTCAGGGAGTTGGCCAGGCTTTCCCTTTTCTCCCTATGGTTTAGAAACTGTTGATGCAGTAAGGTGAGGCAATCACAGGACTCACATCACTCACTTCCCATCTCTCAGAGGTCACTGTCCTTCATCATTTTATAGTCTGTACATTTTTTAGTTGTTTCGGGTAAAGGAATCAATCTGATCCCTAGTAATCCATCTTGGCCCAAGGTACATTTTCCAAATATGTAATTTTATATTTTTACTTAATAGATTATTTAACCATAGATGCATCTTATTTTATGAGATATTTTGTCAATATGATACTGATAAAAACCTGAGAAACACTCAAATTCATCATCTACTCCTGATAAAGAGTGGTCCTAAAGACTGAGTAATCATGGGTTCAGTTTAATGAGTGCTGCTCATGTCATATGCCAGTCTCTGTGATAAGATCATTTAGCCCTCACATCCACCCTAGGAAGTATAGGTATTGCCCCATCTTACAGAGGAAGAAATTGTGACTAGAACTGTTGGGTTGGTTTCCAGTTCTCACATAGCTATTTAGTGGTATATGTGAGAGTTGAACTCAAGTTTGACCTCAAAGCCTGTGTAGTAAATCATTATACTTTCTTCAATGTTCCAAATATATCAAAATACATCTATAAATTAATTTTATTTTGACTTGATTAAAGTAATGATAAAGATTTTTAAATAATCCTGAGGAATAAGCTAAGGCAAAGAGGAAAGATAAGGACAAAGTAAAGTGGTAAGAGATAGATATAAGTACTGGGTATTTTCAACTGAGAAGTTTGCTCTATTGTGGAACAGAAGTAGCCTATCAGGCTTATCTCCAGCCTAGATGAACTATCCCTCAAGGCCATGTGATTCCTGAGTATCCTGACATTGCAAAGAAGGTACTATGGATTATATAAGCAATCCATACACTGGAAAAGGCTTAGTTTTGATGGAAAAAAAAAAACAAATAATACACTGTCATTCTGCCTGATATATTAGTCTTGTGCACATTTGTAAAATATGAGTCATGTCATAGAACCTTGTTATCTCTGAGAGAAAATTCAAAATTCTGTTCTCTAGAATCTCTAGAATCTCTAGAATCAAGGACCAGAGTCTGGGGGATTGATGTCTTTACCGGGAAGATATTCTATTTAAAAAAAAAAAAATCAAGTTTTTTTTTTCTTTTCACTACTCCGTTGCATTTCTGTTGTCTTGTTTTATCTCTACTATAAGATTGATTTCTTCTGGAGGATAGTTACTACTTACTTATGGTTACATCTTCCACAAAATCTGGAATAGAGAACACATTTCTACCATAAAATAATGGATGAGGCATAACTATATATTCCTCTTCTCCTGCATCATCCCACTCCCATACACACTCAATTTTGTACGTGAAGAGTCACAGACCAAACGTAGTGTGTATGTGAGTCTCAGGGCATTTAAGGCAGTGGCTGAACAAGCTTTCTCCATTGCTGATTGACTAGCTCATCTCTGACCCAGAGCTACCTTTTTGATTAAGTGCCCAGGCACTTGTCACTAATGCTGCACATGAACTCAAAGCACTGGCCTGGTCTGTCACTGTGATTCACCGTCTTCTAAGTATAGTTTTATTTTTCTTTTACAGTGCTTACTTAAATATTAAAGATTGCTGGGTAGATGAATTGGAGTAAAAGTGCGTGTCCACCATGAGTTAATTGATATATAAGTTCAGAAACTAGGGGAGTAGGGAGTTTAGGGAAACTTTCCAGAAAACAGTTATAGCTCAAACCCCAGGCGATGTTGCAAATCCTTGAACCTTGAACATTTGTGCCCTTTAATCCCTGGTACCACTTGGCAGAGTTAGACCACTTACTTCCTCTCTTCTTCTTTCTTTCAGATCAAGAATATCTCAGCATGGGCATGAGTAGCTTGAAATTGCTGAAGTATGTCCTGTTTTTCTTTAACTTGCTCTTTTGGGTAAGTTTGTTTCTCCTGAACATGGTTGATACCAATATCCCTTAGCTAAGCCCTCCTTCTCTCTTCCCTACTATAGAGGCAGGTGTGGAGTAAACCTTATGCATGTCTGGGTCATATCCAACCAGCCTAGGAAAAAGAGGAGTAATAATTTCCTCGCTTCTCCCCAATCTGCCACAGTAGAAGCCTGCAAAGTCATAAGGTGCCAGTGCAGGTATTAATGGAGGCGCTGTTTCTCACTGAGAGTTGTAGGTTACTGTTGCTCACAGCTAACATTTATAGGTGAGAAACCTGAGACTGCATTCTGGTATTGAGAGCCTCTATTTTTCTTGTCTTTTTTTTTTTTTTTGGATCCCTTGCAAGAATAGTTGATTGACAAGAAAGCCACCTTTTCTGGGGAGGTTTCATTGTACCCAAAGTCAGCAATTGAAGCTCAGATATAAGATGGATTGGTATTCATGTGTCTGTGAAAAGACTCTTATAAGTTTATATTCTATGGTTTTCTGCCAAGTAGGATGAACTTCCTCAAGTAAGGCATATTCTATACATGGTCATGCTTTCCAAAGAGAAGCCTATGTGTGAGCAATTGAGAGAAGACAAGGATTGGGGTGTCCAAAGCATAAAGTTAGGCCTATAAGTGGGAACAATATTCTGTGGCTCACAGGAATAATCATTCCTTGGTATCTGGAACTCATTAAGGAGAGGTGTTAGTGGAACTTCACATGAGGAAACTGGGATTGCCTCTCTTCTAGGAGGATGGAGAAACTAAATAAAGAGATTGTTCATGAGAGTCTTGATTAAACCAATGGAAAAGGTTGATTCTAATTTTCTTTTCTTTTTGAGTTGGGTCTCACTTTGTCTCCCAGGCTGGAGTGTGATAGTGCAATCACGGTTCACTGCATCCCCAGTCTCCTGGACTCAAGCAATCCTTCCACCTCAGCCTCCTAAGTAGCTGGGACTACAGGCACGTGCCACCACAACAGGCTACTTTTTGTTTTTTTAGATTTTGTAAAGATGAGGTTTTGCTATGTTGCCCAGGTTGGTCTCAAACTCCTGGGCTCAAGCAATCCTCCTGCCTCAGTCCGTAAGGTGCTGGGATTACAGGTGTGAGCCACCATTTCCGATCTTAAAGAAGAATATGAAGAAAGTTTAAGAACCATATTTAGCCTCATAATGTTGTGGGATTCTTCCTTTCAGTTCTGTGGCTGCTGCATTTTGGGTTTTGGGGTCTACCTGATGATTCACAACAACTTTGGAGTGCTGTTCCATAACTTCCCCTCTCTCACACTGGGCAATGTGTTTGTCATCGTGGGCTCCATTATCATGGTTGTTGCTTTCCTGGGCTGCATGGGCTCTATCAAGGAAAACAAGTGCCTGCTTATGTCGGTGAGTCCTTGTAGCAGATGTGATGCCCTGAGGGGGTGGAAATGATGCCTTAAGTCCCAGGCAAGCTGTTTCTTGGTAGATCACATATAAGCACAGGGAAATCATAGGAAAATGGGATTGGTACCTTAGATCAGCTAAGTCTATCAAGACAAATAGTATTTCATTCCTGACTGAAGTACCAGCAATAGGTGCAAGGGGTGTTGCTATTCTCTTTGGTAGCCATTTTACACTGTTAATAATGACCTTTGTCATTATAATTCCCTTTCATAGCATTTTATTGTCCCTTTATATCTGGTTGAAATAAGTGTCATCCATCTGCTAAAATCCTCCTCATGTTAGTATGTACTTTCAGGATCTGATTCAGAGTCATTAACCGATGGAAGAATAATCCCCAGACACATCTGGCCCTCCTAAAATGCCAGAGGTGCTTTCCTAGTTCATACCTACACAAAATACTCCATAGTGTGAGTGACCCAACTTAGGCGAGGGCCCAGCCTGCAACCGTTGAGGTCTAATGTGAGAGATACTCGAACTTTTTGCTCATTCCCTGTCAGTTAACTATCCTGAGAGGCAGAACAGAGCTAGGTGCAACAGTGCCACTGAATCCATGAGTATGGGTTCCTGATCACCTTGGTTCTTCCTTAAGTCATTTGGTTAATCTTTTTTTTTTTTGATGAGTTGGCTTTTAACCTGGAGCTAAGAAAAGGAGTAGAAAAATTAATCTAAAAAAAAAAATGTGGTACATATACACAATGGAACATTATGCAGCCATAAAGAAGGACAAACATATGGTTTTTGCAGCAACTTGGATGGGTTTAGAGTTGATCATACTCAGTGATCTATCACAGAAACAAAGAACAGAGTACCATATGTTCTCACTCATAAGTGGACCTTGAGCAATTATAATACTATAAGAAAGGGATTGGCAGTAGTAGGAAACTGCCAGGGGAATGGGGTGAGATTGGCAGTTGAGGGAAATTGCTGGGGAGGGAGGGGCATACCTCATCAACAAGGTTACCCGCATAATCAATGTTTGTATACCTAACCCTGAATTGTACTCCACATCTTTATAATAATAAAAAAAATCTCTCTTTTCAGATAGTTCTTAGACTAGTAAGAATAGATGGGAGATAACAGACATGGGGTAAATTTTTAAGCAGTTAAAATTAGTGCGAGGGTAAAAATGTGAAGGAGAAAGAATAAGTGAAAATATGTTTTCTGCTGTGTGAGAGTAGACATCTAAAGCTGGAAGCAAACAAGAGTCAGACCCATTACTCCCATTACTACAGTCCCTCTTGTCCCATCTGTACAGGGCTCCTCTCAAGTTTCACTGCCACCAAGTCTTCCACTCCAAGACAGCTCTGATCTTGTAAAAAGGACCAGGCCCCAAACTCTAAAGACACATGGGTTAGTTTACTGGTCTTTTGCTTAACTGTTTCAATAGGATGATACACAAACTGCTTAATTTATTCAACAGAGGATATTGTATATGTGTTATGCACATAGTTCTCTCTTAGGCACAATGAGTTGGAGAGAACAAAGTTAGAAGACAGTTGATCTGCCCGTTAGAGTCTAGTAGTAGAAAATAACACAAATCCCCCACAAAGCAAAAAAAGGCTTCCTGAGGCCTGAGGAGATGGGAACATCCTACACAAGTGCCAACGTCCACCTAAATGCTCCTAGGAGAGGGTGGTAATGGGGTGAGAACTGGGATCAGTGCCGTAAGCATGTCTCTGCTTTACCTCAGTTCTTCGTCCTGCTGCTGATTATCCTCTTTGCTGAGGTGACCTTGGTCATCCTGCTCTCTGTGTATGAACAGAAGGTAAGCTACAAAGTAACACACTCATTTTCTTATTGCTGGAAGTAGAGAGTATGTCAAGGGGAAGAAGTTGGTGCAAAATAAGTCTCATAATAGAGATATAAATGAAATAGAAGAATGAAGGAAAGAAAGATTAATTGTAATGGGGGAGAAAAACATTTCATGAAGGAGATTTTATCTGAGTGGTGCCTGAAAGGATGATTGGAAAGAGTATAGGACAAGTTGGTCTTCCTCCTACTTACTTTCTTCTGGGTATCTGACAGTAGAGAGTGTCTGTCTCGGCGCCTAAGGATAGCCTTTGCTTTAACTGCCCCTTGGCCTTCTTTGTAAAGCCAGACCTCTGGGAGGTCAAGAGCCTACTGTGTACTTTTCCTTGCCTGCCATGTCACTCTCAACCTGTCTGCCCATAAATGAACAGCCTCCCCTCACTTTTAGTTTTGAGAAGACCACTTGGAAGGGCAGAGCAAGAGGACCCACTAGCCTATATTAGAAATTCCTTATTCCTTGAACTCATTTGCTTTTTACCATGTCTTCTCTGCTGGAATGTTCCCTGCCCAGCTGAAAGATTCTGTAGCTGAGGGCCTGACCGACAGCATCCACCGTTATCATTCAGACAACAGCACCAAGGCAGCGTGGGACTCCATCCAGTCATTTGTGAGTACAGATGGAATCTTCTGCAGACCAGCCCAGACTTTATTTTCAAGCCTCAGCCCCTGGGGGCTAGTTCTTTTCACCAGAGATTTCAGAAATCTAGGGTCCACAGCCCTGAGGTCTGGACTACCTTGACTATCGCTAACAGGGAAGCCTAAGAATCAGTCTGACTGGTACAACATTCTCTGTGTCCTCTCTTTCACCCTTTTCCAGCTCAGATAGGCTCATTGTCTAAGACCTGCTAGGAGGTGAAGAAGACTTAAACACATTCATTTATGTATTTTCCAAAATTATACTGAAAATAGTAACTGTATAATACAAGAAATTTCTGTTGAATCCCCGAATTGTTCAAATCAGGCTTGTTATCTAGCCCCCCCAGCGCCCCATTTCCCACGGCCCCTCCCCACCCCAAAACATATATATTAGCTCTACATTCTTGATTTGATGTGTCGGGGGATAAAGAAAGGCCAGGGAGCCTTGCATCGGCATCATCTATGTTTCAAACTATGTCACTGTGACCACATGCAGGAGAAGAAAAAATGACGAAATGGATAGGAACTGACTCCTGAAGACCAGAGTTGGATGGCCTTGAAAAAGTCACTTAACTTCTTAGATCTTCAATTATTTATTTTTTTCAACTCAATTAAGGAAACTTTTCATTATATAATTTTCATACACATACAAAAGTAAAGAGAAAAATAGAAAAACAAATCAGTACACATCACCCAGCTTCAAACAGTTAACACTGTGCCTGTGTCATCTCACTTAATACCCTACACTTTTTTTGCTAGACTATGTTAAAGCAAACATCAGACATTATATCATTTCACCCATAAAATATAAAAATAAGAACGTCTAATACACCTCAAATTTTATAATTTCTTAATATCGTTAATAAAGTCTGTAATTAAATTTCCTTTAATTTTCTCAAAAAAATTTTACACTGACTTGTGCTAACCAAGAATTAAACAAGGCCTATATATTTTTAAATAATATGTTTTTCTAATTCTTCTTCTTTTTTTAAATTTGGGGTCTCACTCAGGCATCCAAACTAAAGTACAGTGGTTATTATCACAGTTCATCACAGCCTCGACCTCCTGGGCTCAGGTAATCTTTCTACCTCAGCCTCATGAGTAGCTAGGACTACTATGTCCAGCTTGTTCTGTGATTTTTGTAGAGATGAGGTCTTGCTGTATTGCCCAGGCTGGTTTTGAACTCCTGGGCTCAGGCAATCCTCCTGCCTTGGTCTCCCAATATGCTGAGATTACAAGTCTGAGCCACTGCACGTAGCCTCTAATTCTTTTAAAATCTATAACAATACCCCTCTTTGTTCATGCTGTTTATTTAAGGAAAGAAGTTAGTTATTTGCCCCATAGACTCCCCTACTTTCTAGATCTGACTAGTTGTTTCCTCAAGGTATTTTGGTGTCGTGGAGTCTTGTCTTCCAAAAGCCCCAAGAATCTAAAAACTTGATGCAATTTCTGCTTTGTATTATAGCTGGTCCTTCCTACTGCATCATGTAAATAGGTACACAATGTCTGATGATCCTGCTTTCTGTGATCTTAGGCCTGGCTGGTGGGTCCAGGTATGGTCAGCCTAATCCCTCTGTTATGTCCTCTCGGTGACTTATTTTTGATCTGTAAAATGTGACTAAATCAAGCATGCCCTTTCTACTCCACAGAGTTTTTTTGTGAATGAAAAAGTATAGCAGATTTGAAAGTACTTTCTTCCAAGAGGCCAATAATCATCAGACCAGATTTGACCTTTCTGCTATAGAGTCAGATCTGATGGACCTACCTTTTCCTCCCAGGTCCACAGCTTTTTTTCTATTGACTTCCTAACAGTCATGGTTTCTGGGGTTTATCTTTTAGCTGCAATGTTGTGGTGTAAATGGCACAAGTGATTGGACCGGCAGCCCACCAGCAAGTTGCCCCAAAGATCCACAAGTGACGGTAATGTGTTGGCAACATTCCTGTTAATGACCTCTTTGTTTACACTTTTAATTACCTTGGAAACCACAGTCACAAAGGACCTAGACCTTCTGTCCAGAAACAGGAACCTTGAATAAAAGGAATTACCATGGCAACAGCCCTGAGTAACTAGAAAAATCAGAAAAACATAGAAACATGTTCATTTAGACTAGAGATATTATGATTACTCTTGCTACACTAAATTGTTACATTAGAGGGGGACAGTTTGTATGAAAGTGGCAGAGGGTTATGGATATTTCTTGAGCAAGAAGTAGGTTTCCTTATGGTAGAAAGTGAAATTTATAGCACTGAGGTAGAAAAGCTTCTTCCTCTGCTGGCTTCTCTGTTCTCCTTCCTTGGAAATGGCAGGATCCAGTCCTTTAGGAAAATGAAGGAGCAAAGGAGTGAGGAGTTGAAGGAGAAAGAGTTTGTAGAACTGATGAAACAAACTGTCCACTGTCCATCTGAACCTCCAGAATAGACTTTGAGAAGAAACCAAAATCATCTTCCAACTAGAACATATCCCTAAGGTCTTGGCACTCCATGTTACCTACTCCTGAGACTGTTTGAAAATCTTCAAAATTTTTCAGGTCTAGGAGAAAGACTAGGACATCCACCAACCTAAAGCTTTGTAGAGCTGTGATGAATTTACTGGTTGTCAAAGCAGAAACTGAAATGCAGATTAGTTTTAGGATCATGTAGCCTATATTTCTATGTTAATCTTAGGTCAGCACTGAGTTTATAGAGAACATAGGACATCTATTACTAATCTGCCTCTTGGGAGCTAGTTTAACTCAGTGGGTAAGGATCTAGGAATTCTACAATAGGTGCTACTGTAATGTAACAAAACCAGAAAAGTCTATAATATTCTTTATTTTACACCTGTTTCTTCATCCATTCAAAAATAAAAATATAATACCTGACCTAAGTCTTTTTATAATACATAAGGCAACATACTAACTACTGTGTCTTCCAAATAATCCTTTTGATAAAGTTGAATGTATCATTTGTACCTGTAATTTTTCCTAGGGTTGCTATGTGAAAGCAATGCAGTGGTTTTACTCCAATTTCCTATATATTGGAATTGTTATCATCTTTGTATGTGTGATCCAGGTAAGCTCTTAACTGTGGGACTATTGTGAAAATTACAAGAGTTAAGTCATGTAAGGTTTTAGTCCACTACCAGGTAGATAATATGTGTGCAATAAATGTTAGCTATTTTAATGAGTATATGAGTTCTCTCAGCCAAGTAGCAAATAATTTTCTTATCCATTTGATTTAAGGCACACAGAAAATATACTAGAAGAACATTCATCTGGTCAATTTATCCCTCAGAGATATCGGTGATTAACAGTTAAACTAAAAGTCACCCAGTAGAACTCCACTTTGGTTTCTTACTCAGTTGGTCTGGAAAGACTGACTGATGAAACCTTTCACTTGAAAAATTGATCTTGCATGCTAAAGAATTGATGATGAAAATTATAATCAATTCCCTTTTCACTTCTGTGCTAGTTTGACAGCAAAGGGGGAACTGAGGGTAGTTTTGTATACTTTTTGTTGTCATATTTCTAACATTTTTCTACCTAAGTGTTGGGTATATCACAGATTAGCTAAGGCTCAGTCAATAAACTCAAAGAAAAATAATTCTTTTCTGCTTGAAAACCATGAAGGCATAGAGCATCAGTAGACATAACTCATTGCACACAGTGTTCAGTGAACAGAACATGACTATACTAGTAGCAGGGTTTCTTTGAATTCCTAAGAAGACAAAAGATGTCCCAATATTTTACACTCTTTTGTCCCCCCCCCTGCACCACCACCACCAGGAGGGACAATTCTAAGAGTTGTGAGAGAAATAGCTTTCTTTATTAATATTTCATATTTTTCCAACTCTTTTTGCAGGTGTTGGGGATGTCCTTTGCACTGACTCTGAGCTGCCAGATTGATAAAACCAGCCAGGCCATAGGGCTGTGACCTACAACTGCCCTGTATTGAAGAGACTTGTTTCATCTCTGAAAATATAAAACCATTTATAGCATGACACCCTAAATGATCACATGCTGGACTGTTCTCCTCCCATCTCTGCCCTTTTTGGGTCCCTGTCTTATATAACCAGAGAAAAGTGTATTGGCCAGGAATTTCCCATCTCAGGCAGCAAGACACCTTTCACACACTTACGGCAGCCATCATATCTCTTAAGGTGGTAAAATGAACACTTGAGCATTTTTTAGACACAAGAGGCCAAAAGACCTATGGAACTAATGGCTCAAGATCAAAGAGTGGGCCCAGGATATGAATTTTTGCATCTTCCCTTTCCCAAATTAGTCTTTAATCTCTAAGTCATGCCCAGTCTGCTCTCCAAAATTAAGCAGGAGACAAACTGAAGGGTGGTGAGCTGGGGCAGGCTCACTGGACCTTTGTTACAACTCACTGTTTCTCTTTGACTAGTGGCCATGGCTGTAGGAATGACAGAATACTCTTTCTTTAAAGGGCAAAACTTCATTTACATTTCTTTATTAAAGGGTCTTATTGACTTATTCTAAATCTTTCCAGTGATTCATATCCTGACTTTAACCCAGTCTCTTAGCTGATAATCACATTCAGAGGAGTTCTGGTGCTATTTCTCTGTCAGATAAGGTTTTGCTAATGTATCATTTTAACACTTTGATAAATAAAACTGCTTATACTCTCAACCACAACATTCTCATTTTTATATATCAAGCACTCCTTCCATGACTCAGCCTGATTACCCTGCCAGCAAACCAGGTGCATTAATCATCTATTGCTGCAGAACAAATTACTCCAAATTTAGTAGCTGAAAACAACATTTATTGTTTCACAGTGTTTGTGGAAGTGGCTTGGCTGGGTGATTCTGGTTCATCGTCTCTCCTATAACAACAATCAAGATGCCAGCCTGAGCTGCAGTCATCCCAAGGCTCAACTGGAAGAAGATTCACTTGCAAGCTCTTTCACTCAGCAATTGGCAGGCCTCAGATCTTTGCTACATGTGTCTTCACAGGGCAGCCTATGACATGGCAGTTGATTTCCCCATATCAAGACATCCAAAAGAGAGCAGGAGACCCAAAACAGAAGCCATAGTCCTTTTATAACCTCAGAAGTGCCATCACATCATTTCTGTCATATTCTGTTTCCTAAAAGTTAGTTGAAAAGTTCAGCTCATACTCAAAAGGAGGAGGTTATACAAGGGTGTAAGTGCTAGGGGTAGAGATCATTGGCGGTCATTGACAGCAGTTCTCAACTTTTTTTGGCAGGAGGGACTGGTTTTGTAGGAGACAATTTGTCTAAGAACTGGGAGGGGAGTGGGAAGGGGGGTGGTTTCAAGATGATTCAAGTGCATTACATTTACTGTGCACTTTACTATTATTGTATTGCAATATATAATGGCATAATTATACAACTCACCATAATGCAGAATCAGAGGGAACTCAGTTTGTTTTCCTGCAACTAGATGGTCCCATCTAGGGGAGACGAGAGACAGTGACACACAAAATGTGTTGCTTATGTCTAGTCTACTCTGTAATCTCATTTTGGTTGCCATTACGGTAGAAAACCTGCTCCACAAAGATAGGATGTTGGACATGGAAGCAGGATTTTCAGTGCTTTTGTGGCAATCTTAGGAAATTCCACCTTTACTTTAGTCCAGAACATATGGGGATTTGAAGTTGTCTCAAACATACTTTTAAGGCCACCGTCATTTACGATCTCAAGCAGTTGATCCTCTTCTAGCACAAAGAGGATTCACCTGAATTATTCACAAATAGGTTGTGGAAGCATTCCCTCCCAGTTTGGGAGTCTTTTATGGTTGGAAAATAATACTCAAACTCTTTTGAAAACTGAAGTAGGTGATCATGCACCAGGTAGGAGAAAGAAGGCCTTGGCTCAGTCTCTTTCAAAATCTCTGCTAATACTTGAAACATGTCAAAAATCCCAATGTTCACTCATCGCTCCTATAATTCCAGTTTGACTTTGAATGTAGTCACTTTACCTACGATGTGAACACAGTTGTCAATCTCCCCTGAAATGTCAGGTTAAGTTTGTTGAGTAGGTTTTGCAACCCATGTGCTACCAGTGGTGACTGTCTTTTCTAAAAGAAATCTCTGGAGCAGCTCTCATAACTCAAAAACTCTAGCCAGTGGTCTACTTTTAGAAAGCCATCTCACTTCTGTGTATAGGAAAAGACGTGTACTCTGCATTCATCTCTTACAGAGCTGCATGAACAGACGTATGTTAACTTTAATCACATCCTGCAAAATGTTGTTAAGTTCAGGTGACACTTTTCTGCAAGCCAGCATTTCTCTATGGATGAACAAGTGCATAGACTCATATTCAGATATGACCTCTCTGACCTGAGTAGTAAAACCAGAAAACTGTTGAGTCACGACAGCCACTCCATCCATACATATACACCAACATAAAATGACCAATTCAGTTTTCCTGATATGTCATCATTCAAAGACTTGAATAGTTCTATAGCTGTGGTATTGGTTGGCAACAAAAGTGCACATAACATATCTTCATGTACATTCTTCCGGAAAATATATAGTATAAAAACAAGCATTGTTGCTGTGTTGTCAACATCAGTAGACTTGTCACCCTGGATTGTGTACCATGACTCATTGATCCTCTCTAACAATTGTGCCTCAATATTCTCTGCTATTTCATCAACTCATCAAGTTATGGTGCTAGCTGGAAGAGGAATACATGCCACCTTTTGAACTGTAGCCTCTCCTAAAGGTTCACGGCAAATGTCTTTATCAGCAGTCAGGATCAACTCTTCACCAATAATGAAGGAATTTTTAGCTTTAGCAATGTGGCTAGCCACTAAGAATCATGCTCTTGTTGCACACACATTTGATGAAGTGATGGCCTTTGATAATTGCTTGTCCTTTGTGTTCATGTTTGTTTGTTTTGAGAAACTCCAAAGGCTTGTTCTTTATTGCAGGGTGATTGGTCTCCATGTGGTGAAGCAGTTTTGAAGGTTTCCTGGCTTTGTTGGATAGCCAGTCACCACAAATTATACAAACAGGCTTGGAGAATGTGAATCACCTGTTGCAATGAACCTGTAATTTAAATAGGACTCTTGGTATTTTCTTATAAACACAGCTTTCTTTTTGTTGGCAGTCTTAGAGTCTTCTGCTGTCTCATCATTGAGTCTTTCCCCCTTTTCAAAGAAGGTTTCCAGTGATGTTTGTTTTGCAGTCATTTTGGCTAGGATTAGTTTATGGGCTTTGACTGGTACCAGTCCATAGCCTGTTAGAAACCAGGCCACGACTGAGACAAGTGCACAGTGCAGGAAAGAGGCGTGAATAAAAGTGGTAAATAAAATAATGGGCAGGCCATAAGGGGACTAAATTGTCAGATTCTGTCTTAAAGCCTTCCACCAGTGGCAGCTGTATAACTGAAGTACATTGATTTACTTGCCACTCACTGATAGGGTTTTGATATGAGTCTGCAAGAAATCGATTTATTGTGGTTTCTGGGCAGTCAAACCTCACTGATAATGTTAATCTGTATTTGTAGCTTCTCCCCAGTGCTGCCATCACTGCCTCAGCTCCATCTCAGACCATCTGGCATTAGATTCTCATAAGGAGCACACAATCTAGATCCCTCACGTGTGAAGTTCACAATAGAGTTCGTACTCCTATAAGAATCTAAACTGCTATTGATCTGACAGAAGGCCGAGCTCAGAGCTCAGAGAGTAATGCGAGTGATAGGGAGCAGCCATAAATACAGATGAAGCTTCACTTGCTCACCTACTGCTCACTGGGCTAGTTCCTAACAGACCATGGACCCATACCGATAGGGGATCCCTTGATTTAAGAGGTTGCCAACTCCATCATATTAAAAACAGGAAGGTAAATTGAGTTTTTTTCTGTAACCTAAATTGAATTGTTTACATATAGCCACACTTTGTAAGGCAGAAAATTAGAATATTCCTAATACACAGCCAAATGAGAGAAGCCAGAGAAACAAGAAGAATTCCATTCTTGAAGTTTTGTGTAAGATCTCCTACCTCCTTTTGAGGAAAGACTCATTTCAGTGGTAGACTTTAGGAAAACTATATCTTTTGCATTATGATTTTGTGGGGTACAGTTAAGGGTTAGGTGTACAATTACGTTTCATTCAGGCACCCTGTTGATAAGAGGTGTTTCCCCATCCCCAGACAGATACTCAAGGGAAGAGACATTCCCTTGAGTATCACAAGTATTGAAAGTATCTCACATTCAATATGCACAAAATGAAATTTATCATTGTATATTTCAAAACTGTTTCTCTTCTTTGTTTTTCATATCAGTGAGTTATAACAGCATCCAGCTTGTTTTCCTAGCAGGATACTTGGACTTTGTCTTTAATTCTAGCCTGTTCTTTACTTCCAACAACCAACCATAGTCAGCCATGAAGTTCTAAGGATTCATCTATGAAAATTTATCAAATTCATCCATTCTCATTTCATTTTTTGCCCATATTCTTTCAAAAGTCTACTATCTGCTCTCCTACTATTTGCCATTGGCCCCATCTAAACTATTCTCTATATGGCAGCCAAAGACAAATGTCTGAAATATAAATATAATAAGGACACTTTTATGCTTGAAACTTCAGTGGCTCTTCAGTAAGGACAAAGTCCAGATTTTTTTTATTCTGTCTGCCAGGCCCCTCATGAGGTAACCCACTCTTGGCTCTCCAACCTCCCTCTTGCCATGCTCATTCTTTGATTCATTGAAAGAAAACAGCACATAACACTTCTCTGAAGAAGCATGATTAGATTTGCTTTTAAATGTATATAGAACAGTCATAACAAAGCTTTATAAACAAAGGCAAGAAACATCCTTTAATAGAATGTTCACAATACCTGCCCTCAGAGTTCTCTCTTTGTTAAACATTTCATTAACTGAAAGAAAATAACACATAGCACATCTTTTTAAAAGTGTGTTGTATTTACCTTTTTTGCAATTCTCATTCTTGTATGCTATACTTTTATTAGATTAATGTTTGTTTGGTTGTGCTGGGTTTTATCTATACTCCTTGATTTTTCCCACTCAGCCACTGATTTCCTTTATCCGGATAATTCCTACCCTCTCTTTCCTGTAAGAAAGACTTCCCTAATCCCACAAAGTTTAATATTTATTGAGGGATTTCCAAATATGATATACCATACTAAGAGCTTTACAAACATCTTTTCATCTAAATTTTGACAAAAAGTCTCTTGTATGTACCTACATAGCATACTCATAGGAACTTCATAGATCTTATCACATTCATAGATTTTATCTTAATATATTTTATCACATTTAAATTGTACTTTTATTTGTCTTTATCAACCATCAACTTGATCAAGTTAGAAAAAGAAAATCTGCAACTACAAATAAAAATTTGACCATAACCATAAGTACAGTAAAGATTTTATAGTTAATGAGGGAATATTATGAACAAATTTAGGTTAATTTTTTAATGTAGGTGCCATAGATAATTTTCTAGAATAATAGAAGGCATCCACACTGACTCAGAAAACAGTATTTCTGTTT